CATCGTTGGAGGCCCTCTTGTCATTTTGAATGCATGCCTCTCACTTAGCTAGCCGGATAACTCGTTCCGGCCATGAAGCCGAGTAGCTCAACTTAGGCTGGGCCTCGCTCACAAAGTGTGTGCACTCGGATGGTAATAAGGATGTGCGGAGCCGACGTGAGCCCAAGGGCGGTAGTCCCGATCGTCTGGCAGCTTAGTTGTCCTCGGTTGTCGGCGCTGATCGAACCCATGAAATGTGGACCTGAGTTGTACCAAAGGTGACCTAAGACTACCATGGCTGGTAGACCTAGGTTTGTGTTAGGAATACTGCCCAGCTTGTTTCAATCGATTCGAATCGCCGTCTCTCCCGGATAGTGAGAAACTTGGTGGAGCCCCTTCATTGTAGTAATTGGACTATGGAATATGATGGTTATGATGAACATGGAAAATATTACACCGGCTATGGTTACTATTGTTATGCTACTAAATGATATACCACATGTTTGGTACATGTTAGTTGCTAATCTAGAGATGAATAGCTATAATTAACTTGATGACCGAATTATAAAATGTATAGCTTAAATAGTGGCTTTTTATGCAAAATGGTGTCAAGCTAGCTCCACTTATAAAAGCCTTGCATGATCCTTGGAGTTACTTTATTTTTGGTTTATGATGGGTAAGTCTAGCTGAGTACCTTCTTGTACTCAGGGTTTATTTCCCACTTGTTGCAGATAACATAGTATATCATGGATATTGTAAGAATTGCTTCTATCCCACCGTGGATTTAGAGTAGGCCCCCAAGGCGCTTCTATTTATATATGTAATCTATGGTGCTTTTGTGGGTTGTGATCATAGACTGGCAAGTATTTGAACAATGATGTGAGATGTTGGTTTAAAAACTATTTTGCTTCCGCTACTACTTTATTTGAACAGGGTTTGTAATAACTTTAATCGCACTCTGATGTATGGCAATGTATTTGTGAACTCTATATAACATGTAGCATGTATGTTGAATCATGTACGATCTTGGTTGTATGTTGGCGATGAATCGAGACCCTTCATGGTACTCGATGGACTACCGGGTTTATATGGGCTCAAGTATGATAACGCGACCACTTGCGAGATGCCATTGTACTTATGCTCTTATAAATTGGGCGGTTCTATCACACCTCCCACGGAGAACTGGGGACAGGACTCCGTCCCCCTTTGCTCTTCGAGCTCATATCTTCTACACCTACTGAACTAATGGTTCTTGTTTTCTTGGCCAGGGTCTTTCTCGGCGCCATCACTGCAACTGCTAGGAGCGGGATCTAGATGTGACGATGTCTGCTAGGTCAAGGTAAGTAGAGGAGTGAGTACTACTGCTTTTGTCGGCATTGGCAAAGGGACGGACCGTCTCCACCCTTGGCTACTTAAAAGGGTGGCTAATGCTAGTAAAAACCCTTACGGACCCTAGGCCCAAGGCCCAAAATTGCTGGTGAAACTGGGTGGACCAATATTTGGGCCCTACAAAATCCCGACGTAGCCCCACCAAAGCGGTAGGCGCAGTCGGTGGTTTCGGCCTGGAACTGCGAAAGCCGAACCCTGCCATTCTAGAGTGAGGGGGATGTTCAGGAGGGTCGCTAGCCGATTCTAAAACCTCTGGCCTCGAGGCTACGTAAATCTCTCGAATATTTGGATAGGCCTGAAGTACTTTATTTCAGCGGAGGTGTACCCCTTCGTGGGAAATCGGAAATCTAGTCAGCCCGTGGCTATGACCAAAGTACGAGGTCCTGGAATCTAGAAAAAGAGTTTCATGACATGCACCAACTGGTCAGGCTTTGTCCTGCCACTTCCAGATAGTGGATGTCATTGTTCTACCCGTTATTAACTCGAAAGAATAGCATACGCTACAACCCCAGATGTTCATGTGTTCGCTATTCACCCAAGTGATCCTTGAGCATTCGAGATCGTTGTCTTCAGGAGCCACGAACGACCGCACTTGGTCGGGGTAAAATTTTAGATCGGATCACCTGTATAACCTGTAGTTATACTAACTACCCATCGGGTTGGGAAGGGGGCCCGTAAAAATGCAAGGCTGGTTCGACTGAACGAAAATCGTCAAATCACCCGATTAAATCGGGACACAGGTAGCAGTGTTCAAAATCAATAAAAGTCATTCTTTTTTTTATTAAACTCCGCTGCATTTTATATTAACAGGTTTACAATAACCAAAATCTATCAGAAACTACTGCAGTTACGGTAGCCTTGTGAGTGCAGGATCGACTATTGGCACTCAAGCAATGGACATCTCATGAAGCGTAGAAGTCAGATGAAGGCGCACGGCAACCTTCACCTTGTCTTCGAGCCTTCATGAGCACGGATGACACTCAGAAGATGCCTCGGGAAGTCCCACCTCGCGGAGCTTCCTATGACATCCAAAAGGACGAGCCCCACGAGGAGGATAACTCGCGCCATCTTCTGCGGCATCGGGGAGGAGCGAACGGCGATGACTCAGTGGCTCCAAGCCTCCAAATCGATACACGAGAGCACCCAGGTCGAGATCTGTGGGGCAATGGGTTTCTCGGCAATAGCAAGCCGCCCTTTGCCCTCTAGGATTTCCTACAGATATTCTGACCCGGAAAGCCCCCGTGTGTCGACCATCGGCGAGCTCGGCCACCATGCCTTCGGCAACCTAGGCCACCAACGGTATTGTTCCTCTCCTTCTTCGTGAAACTTCCTCTAACACCCAAGGAGAGCAGCCACCACCAGGCTGCTATGGAACCTGATCTTGAAAGCCTTCTCCCAGCGATAGTGCGACCACCGAAGAGCGCCGTGGACCATGGCGGACGGGTTGAATCGCCACTCTCGCACTCAGTCTAGGGCTAGGGGATTTAGGGAAGAAAGGAGGAATGAGACTCACTAGCCTCCCTACCCTCTACTTAAATAAGCGCCCCAAAGATGGTAATGGGGAAGTTGGTGGTTGTCATTAAAGGCAGACTCAGGCATCAAGAGAGTTCCACAAAGTAAAAGCGTGGGGAATGAAACTGTTCGAGTCCCCAGGCACCTTGATCCTTATCTTTCATAGGATTCAATGATGCACAAACAATGTGTTCAAACAGGTGGAAGACTTCCGCCCACACGGTTCTGGAGACTCGAGAAGGCATTACTGCCAGTAAGTGCAAAGCTCACAGTCGTCCCGTTACTCAGGGCCACTCCGGTTGTATTCAAACATCTCGGCACCCGAGAGATGCTCATCGAAACCTACGGTACCCGAAGGCTACAGGGACCTTCAGTACCCAACGAATTGTGTAGCTCTACGAGCCCGTCATTAAATCTTGTAGGGGCTACTGTTAGAGATATGGGCCCTGGGTACCCTAACTGGCCATATATCTGGCCCATCGAGGACGACCGAGTAGGAAGCCCGCGAGGACTAGGCGCAACTACCAACTTGGAGATCATGACATATCGAAGATATCTGTCGCCATCATAGCCATGGTAGGATAGAATTGATCTGTTGTAACAAACTAGGAATCCAATCTGTAGCGTCGATCGCCCTCGCTGTAACCCTACCCCGGCCCTCTGCCTATATAAAGAAGGGTAAGGACTCCGCGATCGGCACATCCACTACGACAACACCTGCCATTCCAATCTACCTCGTAGCTAGGAGCAACAGCCCCTATAATTGAGTATACGAATACAAGAAGAGCAGCCACACCACTGGAGTAGGGATTAGCGCGCACCGCGCCCCGAACCAGTATAAATCCTTGTGTCTCGTGTGCTACCATCTGGATCTATCTACACGATCACATTGCTAGGCATTTCCAGAGCTAAACAATCCGACATGATGACATGGATAGCTTGTATTAAGAGGTTGAAAGTTAGTGGAATGACATATCTGTTAGTGAAATATGATGGGGATAGTTAGTGGAACTTGATGTGGATGTCTTGCATGTTGAGATAGAACTTAAGATGAAATGGATAGCTTGCAATAAAAGGTTCAGAGTTAGCGGCATGACATGGTTATTAGTGGAAAATGACGTGGATGTCTTGCATGTTGAGATAGAACTTGAGATGACGTGGATAGCTTGTATGAAGAGGTTCAAAGTTAGTGGCATGATATGGCTATTAGTTGAAGATGATGTGGATGTCTTGCATGTTGAGATAGAATTTGAGATGACGTGGATAGCTTGCATGAAGAGATTAGAAGTTAGTGGCATGACATGGCTATTAGTGGAAGATGATGTGGATGTCTTGCATGTTGAGATGAAACATGTAGTGGGGATTAGGTTTACAAGTGGTATAGATCTGGTGACATTATGTTATTAGCATTTCGGGTGGTATAGAGTTTACTTGTCTTGGGATCAAGCCGATACATGGAATCATAATCCCGTCTAACTCTATTCTAATCGTGATACACTCTAGCATCCTCGTACTCACGGTGGAAGTGCCGGAGATGGTGAGACCGGAAGACATAGGTGGAAGCCAATGATCTAACACTCACCCTTGTGGAAAAAAAATCATCTTCACATGGTAACTTTGCAAAAATTTCAGCTTTCTCAAAAGTATCCTAGCCGAATCATGAGAACATATGAACATTCCTAAAGCTCGGGATATAATATGAAGTTATTACACTTAATGAAAGATATATACTATAATTAACTATAAAGTCAATATAGAGAGAATCGACATGTATAATTCTTTATATGTCGCATGGCTATGGCATGTTCATTAAAAAAAGAAAGTATCTGCCTGCAATCAAACATGGAGATTTAGGACCAATTACAACACATGAAATTCATGACATTGCAAAGATTTGGTGCACATATATGAGCAAATGTAATCACAAGCGTATAAGCTTTCGCCTTTTTAGAATCTGCATGCAACCATTTCTACATTAGCAACCAAAACCCAGCTGAGAGATGCCCCTAATCAGGGCATAAATAGCTCCAGCATGGTGTTATTGTTGCAACCTACTATATGCAACCAAGAACAAACCCAGACGCACTCAAGCGGCACGCGCACACACAACAATCGTGTCAATGGCTGACATGGCCACCGCCCCGCTCCTGACAAGGCACAAAGCCAATCCGCCGAAGGTGCCTTCAGCTTCAATCGACGACATGATCGAGAAGTACATCGGAGACACCGGCGCCATGCAGCTGCTCAAGGCAGTCTTTGTGGCCTTGGCCTGGGCCTTCGACGCGCAGCAGGTGTTCATCTCCGTGTTCACGGATGCGGAGCCGCAGTGGCACTGCGTCGGCGTAGCCGGCAACTCCTCCTGCAAGCCGGCTGCGGCCTCGCCGTGCGCGCTCCCGCTCGACACGTGGGCATGGGATCGGCCGGCCAAGACGTCTGTGGTGTCCGAGTGGGCACTCCAGTGCGCCGGCCCGGCGCTCGTCTCCCTCCCGGCGTCGTCGTTCTTCGCCGGCTGCCTGGTCGGTGGCTTCGTGCTCACCACGCTTGCGGACTCGGTCCTCGGGCGCAAGAAGATGCTCCTCGTGTCCCTGGTGTCCATGTCCGTCGCCGGCCTTCTCACCGCCCTGGCGCCGAACGTGTGGGCATACGCCGCCCTGCGATTTGTGTCCGGGTTCGCAAGGTCGATAGTGGGCACGTGCACGCTGGTCCTGTCAACCGAGCTCGTCGGGAAGAAGTGGCGCGACACGGTGAGCGTGGCGGCATTCTTCTGCTACACCGTCGGGTTCCTGTCCCTCCCAGCGCTTGCCTACGCGTTACGCGAGGAGTCCTGGCGGAGCATGTACTTCTGGATGTCCGTGCCTTGTCTCTTCTACGCCACTCTGCTTCATTTCCTAGCCCAGGAGTCACCGCGGTGGCTGCTGGTGCGCGGCCACAAGAGGGATGCAATCGAGACGCTGAGGCAGATCGCCACGCTGGACGGCGGCAACACCACGACAGACCTCTCCATGCTGGAACTGGAACTGGAAGCATGTATTACCATGCACGAGGACGGTGGGTCGAGCGGTGGCGGCGGCGGCGTGTTCGCCGCGCTGCAGGCGATGTGGGAGCGTCCATGGGCGATCAGGAGGCTCGCGGCGATCATGGTGGCCGGCTTCGGCGTGGGCATGGTCTACTTCGGCATGCCGCTCACCGTTGGCAGCCTGGGCTCCAATCTCTACCTGAGCACCGCGTACAACGCGCTGGCCGAGGTGCCGTCGTCTATCCTCTCGGGGCTTCTCATGGCCAGGGCCAACAGGCGCAGCTCGGTCGAGGCGCTCGCCGCGTCGGCGGGGGCGTGCAGCCTCGCGTGCGTCGCCATCCCGCAGCGCGCGGAGGCGGCGCGGATGGCAGCCGAGGTGCTGTCCTTCTTCGCCACGTGCACGGCGTACGACCTCATCTTGATCTACACCATCGAGCTGTTCCCCACGTCCGTGCGTAACTCGGCGGTGGGGCTGGTGCGGCAGGCGATGGTGCTGGGCGGCATTGCGGCGCCGGTGCTCGTCGCGCTCGGACGCGAGAGGAGTATCTTGTCCTTCGGCGTCTTTGGGCTTGTCATCGGCTGCTCGGGACTCTTCGCTGCCTCCCTGCCGGAGACGAGGGGGAGGAGCATGTCGGACACCATGGAGGACGAGGAGATGCGCAGCCAGGCTGCCGTGGCGTCTTACACCAGCACAATCCCCATTGCAAAATATAGTGATAACGACCCTGTGTAGTTATATACATGTTCAGAAATTTGTTGCAGTTCAAGCTGCGACAAATGCTGATCCAGAGTGTGTAGTCTATCAATTCGTCCGGCTAATAATATTTTCATTTTTGTTATATTGTCAGTTGTCACCGGGTGAAATTCTTGTTTTGCTATACCCAAATTTCTTTATTATTTAGGTAGAATCGGTGTAACTAAAATTCAGGTATGAGGGGAAAAAATTCACCCCATTCCTAAAAAACTTAATCTCGGTATAGAACTCTAAGGGTGCGTTTGGTTTGTAGCCGTGTCTTGCCGCACGGCGCCGCATCTTCTGCGTAGTATTTTCGGGAGTGTTCGGTTCAGAGCCGGAATACACAACATGTTTGGCTCGCCGTAAAAACATACGGAGTACGCAGCATTCTCCAGCTTCGTACGCCAAATGCTTGGCGAGCAAATTTGCCGCCACATTTTGGGCGAGCCTCAGGTGCGGCGCCGCGCCTGGTTCAGGCTAAGGACCAAACAGGCCCTAAAACACCATATTCTTTTTTCTTAAGGGCCTGTTCGTTTCGTCTGATTCCCGGCCAGATCGCTTCCTGGTGGTGGGTGGCCTGTATAAAATATGTCAACGTTCCTGACCGGATCCGTTCCGACGCTCCATTCCGTGTGAAACGAACATGCCCTAAGGGAGTTACGTACAAGTCACAAAATTCGACTATAGGATGGAATGGAATTGGAGACCGACATCCAGGAGTTGGTCAAGCTATGGGCAAGGGGAGACAATCAAAGATCATGTCTGGCGCCGATCCTCCGGGAGATTAGTTCAGATTTCCTTGATTTTAATCTTTTGTTTGCTAGTCGGTCTTGTAATCGCATAGCCCATACGTTAGCACAGCAAGTCACATGTGACACAGGCTGGGAGAGTGGCAGTTTGCTCCGGCCTGTATTGTAAACCTGTTGGCTGAAGAGTGTAATTCTCATATTCCCTGATGAATGAAGGAAACTCCAATCACACAAAAAAAAAATCTTTTAGAAAACTAGCAAATATGTCAGTGTGTTGGGAGAAAAAAATTTCTCGTATATCTGTAGCATATTAGTTTCGCTTGACCCATACAAAGCACACTAATCTCGCAATATAGAATAGTAAATTGCAATATTGCCTTTTTATTTGATATCATTAATTAGTGTGATAGATAACATGTACGTTTCTTGTTCAGCTACTCTTTTCAAATAGTCATTGTAATTGTCACTGTCATGTTTTCATTTGCAACTGTAACACCCTAAAATTTGCACCTTTAAAATAGAGTAAAAACAATTTAATTATGTATTTTTGTGCTCATGAAATATAGAAAAATAAATATTTTTCATTAAATTAAAATTCATCATAGGGTGTAGCAACATTGTTTGAGCATACATGCCCCTGCATTGGTTTATTGTACTAAGTGGTTTTGACCAAAACTCAAAATGATTCAAATTGCCTTTTAAAAAGATTTTTTTTAAAAAAGAGAGGCTTTGAAATGAAATAAAAGAAAAGGGAAAGAATTTGGAAAACTATTCCTCTCTCATTTCTAGCGCAGGCGGCCCAGTCCTCCCCCTCTCTTTCTCGGCCAGAAGGCCTGGCCTACTCTCTACCTCGGCCTGCTCCCTCACTCCTCTCCGCAGCCTAGCAAGGGGCTGGAGCCCAGCACCACTCCCCCTCCCGCCAGGGCCCGAACGGCTTGGAAAGCCCATGCCCCATTCCTTCACCTCCGTGTCTCACTTTGCCGGATCAGCCTCAAGATTTCGCGTCCCCGCCGACAGTCCGGGCCCAACCGTCACCGCACCGGGTCGCCTCCTTCCTCGAACTGTGGTGGAAGCGGACTCCACCGAGGAAACCTTCGCCACCTGATCCCGACTTCCCGAGTCCTATGGGATTTTCTACGTGATCCGCACGCCTAGCGCCCTATAAGAACCTGAGGACCCCTTAGCACATCCGTTTCCCCTATCCGCGCCGCCGCCTTGCCCTAGTTCCGCCCCGGCGTCGTGTTTGGATGCCGCCGAGATCGGAGACACTAGTAGAGAACAGACCTTTGATCCTCGGTCAAAATGGGCTCTAGTCCCGGAATTTTTTGCGCCCGGGACTAGAAATACCTTTTAGTCCCGGTTGGTGTCTCCAACCGGGACTAAAGGTCCCTAACGACAACGGCTGGCTATCAAGCAGATGTAGGTGGCAGGCACCTTTAGTCCCGGTTGGAGCCACCAACCGGGCTAAAGGTATACTTTACTCCCGGTTGGTGGCTCCAACCGGGAGTAAAGGTCTACTCCGGCCGTGGCTGTGCCCGGGGTTGGAAAGTTACTTTTAGTCCCGGTTGGAGCCACCAACCGGGACTAAAGGTCCCCCCTTTATATCCCGGCCGTCTCCTTCTTCCTCTCTGAGCCCGAGCTCAGCACATTTTGAAGCTCACTGCACTAGTGTTCTTGCTTCCTCCCTCCCTCCATTGTTCCTCCATCCATTATTCGATTTCTCCGTCGATTTCTTCGATTCCTCCGTCGATTCTTCAGTTGTAAAGGTTACCAATCTCATACTCTCATTTTTCACCATTGTCTTATCTCATTTTGTTCACTATATATATATATGGTTCTTTATTGTGGTTTTTTCATTTGTAAGCAATTTGAGCTCAAAATCACTTCAAGCTTGCATATTTACATGAAATAAGGTTAAAGTAGCTAGTTGAACTTGCGGACCGTGTTCATCTCGGCGAGCATGTTCTCTGCCAAGCGGTAACGGACGTCAAGGAGGAGCTTTGATTCTACGAGGGAGAGCGGCAACGGTCGTGGAAGACCGTGTTCCCTTCCTCGTAGAATCGGAGCTCTTCCGTGGCCAAGTACGGTGCCGTCCGATGGAGAAATGCTCGCCGAGATGATCCCGTAAGCAAGTTCAACTAGTACGGATGGTTATTTATTCGTATGTCCCGATATCGTCGTAGTAGTCTGTCAATCACTGTACCCAAACGTAGTATATATAAATATAAACTTAGAAAATAGTTAGAAAATTATAGAAAATCCGTACTAGTTGAACTTGCGGACCGTGTTCATCTCGGCGAGCATGTTCTCTGCCGAGCGGTAACGGACGTCAAGGAGGAGCTTTGATTCTACGAGGGAGAGCGGCAACGGTCGTGGAAGACCGTGTTCCCTTCCTCGTAGAATCAGAGCTCTTCCTTGACCAAGTACGGTGCCGTCCGGTGGAGAAATGCTCGCCGAGATGATCACGTAAGCAAGGTCAACTAGTATGGATGGTTATTTATTCACATATCCTGATATCGTCGCAGTAGTCTGTCAATCACCGTACCCAAACGTAATATATATATATAAATATAAACTTAGAAAATAGTTAGAAAATTATAGAAAATCCATACTAGTTGAACTTGCGGACCGTGTTCATCTCGGCGAGCACGTTCTCTGCCGAGCGGTAACGGACGTCAAGGTGGAGCTTTGATTCTACGAGGGAGAGCGGCAACGGTCGTGGAAGACCGTGTTCCCTTCCTCGTAGAATTGGAGCTCTTCCGTGGCCGAGTACGGTGCCGTCCGGTGGAGAAATGCTCGCCGAGATGATCACGTAAGAAAGGTCAACTAGTACGGATGGTTATTTATTCACATGTCCTGATATCGTCGCAGTAGTCTGTCAATCACCGTACCCAAACGTAGTATATATATAAATATAAACTTAGAAAATAGTTAGAAAATTATAGAAAATCTATACTAGTTGAACTTGCGGACCGTGTTCATCTCGGCGAGCACGTTCTCTGCCAAGCGGTAACGGACGTCAAGGAGGAGCTTTGATTCTACGAGGAAGAGCGGCAACAGTCGTGGAAGACCGTGTTCCCTTCCTCGTAGAATTGGAGCTCTTCCGTGGCCAAGTACGGTGTCGTCCGGTGGAGAAATGCTTGCCGAGATGATCACGTAAGCAAGGTCAACTAGTACGGATGGTTATTTATTCACACGTCCCGATATCGTCGCAGTAGTCTGTTATGTGTGTACACTCCCATTCTTCTGTTAATTTGCGGAAATATCATGTGAATTACTTATCTGCCGCAGTAAAAGATGAGAACACAATGACCATTAAAAATATCATTGTTTAGAGATCTAGATAATTTTATAGTTTCTTAATTTTATTTGTTTATAAAAGGAGAAATTTATAGTGTATTAAAAATGAGTATAGAGAGTAGATGGCAACTGCTTCCGGGTCCTCGGTCTCTCATGGGTTTCCAAAGTGACTTAGGCCGGGCCTCCCTCTCATTCCATGCGGCAAGTGTCGTGATGAGACGAAGATTGTGATGGAGTACCGAGTGAAGGAGGGTCCCAACAAGGATCGTATCTTCTACAAGTGTTCGGATCGCAATGTGAGTTATTTTATCGTATTTAATGATTATGATTAGTTTATACCTATTTTCATGATGGTTGTGATTAAAGTTCTAATTTTTTGTTTTAATTTCAGTGGGATGGCAGTGGACGATGTTCAGGCTTTTACTGGGAGGAAGAGTATGTTGAACTCGTACAAAAATATCTTGCACAACAGGCAGATACGGCGGCTAATGAGGCAGTGATCCAGCCGAAGAAGTCCAAAGATGTTGCACAATCGAGGGATCTGTCTGTTTTAGTTGAGATTAGTCGTGAAATCCTATTGCTACTGAAATGTATTTTAGCTTTAGTTCTTTTAGTGGTAGTTGGGATTGTCTACATTGTAGCGATGCTTTCATAAATTTGTATCTTTTATGGTGGCACGCATGTTGTATAAATAATTAATTATGATCTAGGTTTTAATATGGTATTTATGTCATGTAATGCAGATGAGTCGTCATTGGATGTATAATGCTGATCGCCGCTCCCAAGAGTTCATTGACGGCGTGCATTCTTTGTTCCGTGCGGCCGAGGCAAACAAACGCGACGGTTTCATGTGCTGCCCATGTGCCATATGTAAGAATACGGTGGAATATCCTTGCTCAAGGACTCTTCATTCACACTTGTTCAAGTCGGGTTTCATGCCAAACTATA